ATCAGCAATAAGCAAAGTCAACATTATCCAAGAAGAAGATCTAATAAAAATCTAATAACAAAAAAAAATTTCACATCATTTAGCAAAATAAAATTATCTTTATTTAATAAGCACTAAAAAATTTTCATATTTATAAATTAAGATAAAGACAAACAAGTTTACATAAAACCATTATCTGAAATTTTTCAATTTTGTAATAATTGCATACGTCAGCATTTTATTTGAATTATTGTTTAAGAATAATATAATAAAAATTAATTAGAACAAAAAATAATCAAAGAATCTTATCGATTCTTGAAATAACTTTTTCAAATACTATCAAAGTTAAAAGTCCCGCACTATTTTTTGTTTTTTAAGTCATGTAATAAAACTACACGTGATTAATTAGATATGATTACATGCCTATATAACAAAGGTTAAGTACCAAATATATGTGTACCTGTTTAATACAAAAAAAATGTTTGAACATAAAATATACAATCAATAAATAGTCGCTTTAGTATTAACCCGAGGACGGAGCAGGGCGAGGCGGTAAGAGGTTACGACTAAGCAAGGTTAATGAGCATGTTGCATAGAAAAAGAGTTTTTGACAGCAAGTCAAGTTGTCAACCAAAAGAAATCTAATTTAGGTCAACAACTGTTAATAATATTTTATGTCTTCGTTCGACAAATAAAAATGAAGTAAAATATTGATTGATATCGAGCTATATCATTTTGTGCTTCTGTACCTATTTTGCGTAATACCTAGTCAAAGAAATCCTATGGTCAAAAGATATAAAGATGTGGCGAGGCGATGAAGAAAAAAGATAAGATCGTAGTGGAACGAATCGAGTCGAGGAACAAAATATTCTTCCTGTTTCGGCCTCCAGTACTAACAAAGAAATACAACATGATATTGTTGCTATAAGGTTATGACGAACAATAATTTAATGTAAATGGGCAATCTATATAGACATCATGTGCATATGTGATACCACAGTAATCATAATAGTGTTTAATGCTTGTTTCTTTTGTTATTGTTCCACTCATCATTGATCGTCATGGCTAAAGTGTATTATACTGCTTGAGTAAAGATAAATATTATCTCTACTAATTCACAAAATTCTAAATTTTGATGTATTAATGAGTTGTCATTTTATCTAGTAGTTAACTCATCAGATAAAAATTTAGTACATTATATGTAGTTCATTAGAGTCTCCGTTTTCCTTGGTGAATTCGAACAATGCAAATAAAAGGTTACAAGAATATATTATGTTTAACTACAAAAGTTTGAAATAGAATATCAAGTAATCTGCTTTCATTTAATTTTATTCATTATATTTTATAATGACGTATTTATTCTGTGACGCAGAAGATGCATGTGAGAAACTTGCGTAAAAGGACACCCCACAAGATAAGAATGCTCACTTTATTCTTGATCTCTTCACACTACAATGAAGTCTAACCTGTCTGCGTACGCATGTTTCTTTATTTTTATCAATGATAGAGAGAGAAGAAAAGGCAATTAAGTGTATCTGTCATAAGAGGAGAGAAGAATCAAATATACATAAATAGAGAGAGAGTGAGTGAACAAATATGTGAACAGAATGATTACAAGATTGATAAGAATGTTATATTTCATTATAGTGTATATATATAGTACTTAACCTCTGTTATATAAACATTTAATCATATTAGATTAATGTTACGTAGTATTCCTATAGAACTTAAAAGTCAAAAATGCTGCAAGACTTTTAATGTAGAGAATATATCGATTCAACCTGTTTTAACTGCAATACTAATTACTTAAAAGTATAGAAGTATGTTTATCAAAAGTAGAAAGATACTAAATTATATTTTTTTATCATCAAAATATCTTTGAAAAATTCAATTAACAGTACCTTCAATTCATTGATCAATTTGTATATGAGAAGAACTTTTTTGACATACAATTTAATATAGCTGTTAGTATAATGAACTGATGAATTAAAGTATTAAGTTGTTTTTAGAACATTTTCCACTGGTCAATAATTATTTCAATGTATTCAGTTTTATCATTAACATCAAATAAATCTCTAGTTTCAAGTATAAATGATAATAAACTTGAGATGAAACAAGTGTATCTAATTCTCGATATTCAAATATTTCAATTTCATAAAGTGGGTATTTAAAAATTTAATTGAACATTCATAAAATTTTGATATTGAGTTATATATTTCTGATCAAAATATATGAACAAATGAATTAAATTGATAAAATGGATAAATCAAACTTTACTCGTACAAATAATCAATAATTGCAATACGAAGCATTTCAAAAAAAGAATCGAAGTAGAAAAAGGTAGGAAGTAAAAGATCAAGTTTACAAGAATACGATAATCAACCAATGATGAAATCAATTATATGTGCGACATCCATAGAGAGCAGATGTTGCTAGATTCTTTTTTGAAACTTTCTTATATATGATTTTTGTTTTTGAATAAAGAATTCCAATTCTTGGGATTTCAAGAAGTAAACAAGATTTATGAATTAAACTTACAAAATCTATTCGAATTTAGTATGATATTACAACATGTTTTGGTGTGATCTTGAATATTGCCATGCATGTAGTGGTAATGCGATGCGGGGATGCAGAGGATACTGTTCCTGTTTTGGTAAGTTTGACGATTGCTTTCTTCGGTTTGGGAAAAAACTTATTACAAACTTTCTTCAAATCTGAAAAACATTTATTGAAGTTTTATCCATTCTTTTGCTGTTCGAACCATGTGAGCGCATGTCAAGAGACTAATTTGTGTTGTTACTCATTACAGTTGCGTGTATGCGTTTTTATCATTCTGCTACCAGATAGTGAGGAGATAAGTGACAAAGACAAAAAAAAAGTAAATGCAACCTTCAAAAGGGAGAAAAAAAAAGAGATTTCGGTACTCTGCAGCACGCCTACAGCACGAATGAAGTACAGCGAAGCATCATACTTCATTCGTGCGTCATCACACTTCACTCGTACTTCGAAGTGCAGAAGTTTCGCATTTCCCCCCCCCCCCCCCCCCCCCCCCCCCCCCCCTCCCCCCCCCCCCCCCCCCCCCCCCCCCCCCCCGACAACCCCCAAGCTATGATGTGCTACCCGTACTTTTTTATTCTANCGATTTTGGATGTTGTCTTGGTCAAGACATCCGACAACTCGTATACAACGGGGTACCACTTGATAAACTCCGTGGCTACGATCTCGATCCGTTCTTCATCGAACTAGGCTACGAATTATTTCGCGATGGGGAAACAATGCGAGAAAAGAAAATCTTTGCTGTGGGCGACATATTTGACGATGAATTTCTAAGCAACGTAGAACCAGCCGATTTTTTATATGTTGGCTCATTTATACATCTGTTCGATGCACAGACCCAGCGAGAAGTGTGTCGGCGACTTACTCGATTGGCTAAACGAGCTATTGCTGGTGGACAAGCTGGCGCCGCAAAACCGGCAGAATATTCTCGATCAACAGGGTTTTCAAGCAGCAAAACGATGCGACACTCTCCAGAAAGTTTTACACAAATGTGGGATGAAGTAACCGATCACCAATGGCAAGTCGAAAGTGCTAATTTCGAGACGATCAATAACATACAAAATATTCGTCAACGACTTACTTTTGTAGTCAGAAAACGAGGAAAGAATTAGCCCTTGCTCCATGTCGAGCGTCGACACAATTCTTATGGTCGGATGTATAGTTTTGAGCAGTGTTTTCAATCGTTCAGTCCACAATGTCATTCACTTTCTTTGAATATTTCAATATAAATCATACTTTCAAACGCTCGTCAGACCATTGAACTTTTTCGGCAAGTTTCTTTCATTAGTTTTAATCTCAACGCGTCAGTCGGAAAATAAAACTTGTGTTTATCTTAAGGAGAGAAAAACAATGACATCAATGGAAGAACCTAGTAGTCTGGTATATTTTGAATACGTACCGCGCTTGAATTGAAATATATGCGATAATGGTTCCTGTGAAGGCATAACACATATTTAACAAATATTACCATAAAGAGAAGACTTCTTAATGTCGCCAACATGCTTTCATCTAAGTGATTGTCTCTGTAGATATTTGGTCTGTCTCACAAGATCAAATCACTGTCATATGTTCATGATTTTTATCATCATGCATAAGAACAAATATCATATTATGTCTTCGTTGAGATTCATTTGAGCCACCAGTCATATTTCGTATTCATCAGACATTTCAAGTGTTGAGCTACAAAAAAAATTTACTCTCTCTATGGCTTTTGTTCTTCTTTCAAAATCACATTATAGATAATTGGACAATAGGTGCTTTTTGTCCAACGATAAGAAAAAGTTATCTGTACTAGTTGGGAAAGACGTCATCAATTATCATATTGGGAAGAATTGTTCGAGTTTCGACTTCTTTGAAGTTCTGCTTAGCAGATTGGAATAAGTCTCATTATATAGTTCTTTATTGACTCTGTCAAAGCTTCTGACATTGAAATGACATTCATTGGTTGGACAGCAATATATTTAATACGCAGGTATAATTTTACTCTATAATTTCGTTCATTGGTTCAGAATGTATGACATGCAAAGAAAATGAGGATGTAGTTCTGGAGAAAAAGCAGTTCTACATCAAAACACACACTCAGCTCTACTTAAATTCGCGTTTCTCATGTTCGTCAAATGAGATTATGCTTGATGAAGTCACGGCGGCCAAAAATCGAAAGGATTCACTATCGAGACAAAATGTATTCTTCTTACTGAATGATATTTGAGTGCATAGCAATTCTTTCGGGAATGCTTTCAATAATGGTTCCGTATTATCTAGTACAAAGAACGTGAATCGTTGAACCTTGGATCAGATGGTGATTGTTTTTCCTCAATCACACTCTTACCTGCTTATCCATTCTCACATTCACACCTTACACACGTCTATACACCCACACCCTGTAAACAAATTGTGGCAGTATTAGTGACGAGTGGAATCAAGTTTATTCATTTCCATAAAAAAAGTACAATAAACAAATAGCATCAACTCGTTTCAAGTAAGAATTGTTGAACTCGATGATTCAAATAGTCGACAACATAAAGATTGCCTTGTCTATCAAATGACAAGCCAATGGGACATTTCAATTGATGTGTTTTGTCTCCTGGACCATGTCCACCAACAATCACATTTCCTTTTGTTTCTCCACTGTACCATCTCATAACTCGATGATTTCCGTAGTCTGCCACATAGACTGTACCAAATGTATCAACGCACAATCCATTCGGATAGTGTAGTTGAGAGAGGGCATGCCCTTGACCTAGCCCACCAGCCACGATAATACCCTGTTTGGCATCTTTCATCCACTTCATCACACGATGATTTTCTCTGTCTGACACGTAAACAGAATGATCCTGATCAACAAAAATGTACCCAGGATAGCTGAGTTGACTAAGATTATCACCGGCTCCATTTCCACCCGCCACCACTGTTCGTTTACTTGTCCCCATTCGAATACGTATCACTTGATTATTTTTCCAGTCGGAGACGTAGAGATATCTCTCATTGTCTATGGCTAGTCCCCAACAATCAATATTATCGATAAGCGTTTCTTCACTGTTAGTACCACTTCGATGAGACCATCGCATCACTCGGCGATTACATGAATCACAAATGATGAGAGTGTCTGTCATTTTGTCGACAACTACATCTGTGGGGCCATTCAACTGATCATTTCGATTTCCAAATCCTGTGCCCCCAGCGACTAGTTGAGCCCTCTTTGCATTCCCCTTCCATTGCACAATACGGTGATTCCACCTGTCAGCAATAAGAATAGTTTCATCATCAGTTATATAAAGACCATGAGGACCATGAAGTTGATTGAGTTCGCTACCTGACTCGTTGCGTCCAGCAACCATTTCTCCATCCTTTCCCCATGTAGCTTTGGAAGGAATGTATGGAATAACTATACATTTCAAAGAATCAAAATAAGTTTCTCCGAAAGGTAGTGCTTAAAATAGTTGAATAATGAAAGAACTATGGAAAAAAGTTTGACTTCAGACACAAAAAAATTTAGCCTACCTTTGTATTTGAATATTAGGTTTATCTCTCAGGACTAGTATGAATATTCTTACATCCTCCACTCCATTTATGGCTTGTTCTCAACTGAAAAAAAACTTTCTATACGAGTTTCAATGTTCTCATCAGACCTCTTGCTGTCTCAGTAAAATGTGTGCTTTGAGGATAAACTCGTTTGTGTAGGAGCCATCACTGTCGAGTTTTGGGAGCACGATGATTTTTTCACTGTAATAAGATGCATCCTGGCTGGGGTCATTCACAGTTAGAATGGTTTTAATACGAATTTTTTTGTATAGCACAATCAGCGATTCTTCTGGAAAGTATGGATTTCGTTTATTCTTCGATCTATTTCACTATTAGTCCTTTTCCAATATCTAAAGACCCTGTATCTTTGGATAAAGATTTGCGTTGCTATTTTTTACCTTGACTCCCCCATAGCTAGAGTCAAATACTGCATGATCATGATGTGATCAAAAACAAGTTTGTGATCGTGTTTAATTATGATCGAGAGAATCTAATTACACTGATCTCGATATTTCCTTCAAAAATTTATAAATTTATTGCAAAAAGCTTGAATTCACTAAAACTCCACTTGATCTGAACCGATTAGACTCAATCTCTATCCTACTTGATATTATACGACATAATTTCTCAAAACCTTAATTCGATTGGATTCGACTCGACTTTGAGCTATGGTTGCTCCTTTATTAACAACCGCTAATTGTTAAAATTCCTTTTTATGCATTGTAAAAAGCTTTTTATGGTTCGAGCACATCTAATGATAATACACGATATGAAGCAAATAAGAAAAAAAAACAACGCTGATACTTCACAAAAAACGTTCGGCATGGTTTCTAGGGACTTGAAATGCAAACAATGATTGAGATGTTGTTAGTTACCGATGATGATTATCTCAATACTGATCATAATCCACGAAAATTTAAACGAACAGCATGTCGAAATTTTTATTCCGATCTGCACTATAGATTAAACGGCGATTATGGATGGAGAGTCGATATGATGAGACAAGTAATAACAATCCACAGATCGTAATAGAAAAGTCGATATATTCCTCTATTGATCCTATGATGGAACTTAGTAGAGATGACGATAGCTGATAGTCAAAATCCAAATAGTCTCATTGTGTTTCACTGCTAGGAAAAAAAAGAAAAATGCTCTCAAAATTTCGTTCTTGTTCCAAAAAAAAAGGACTCCTTATTTTTCAAGGTATTATGAAATTATGATGTGTACTTGCACCACTTTCACAAAATCCATAAAGCAACTGACGAAGAATTGAAATTCTCAATAGTATCGAAATGAGAGTTTGATAATGGTGACTGAAAATTTTATTTTCTTAAGTGAAATATTGATAATTAGATCAATGAAAATGTTTTTAATGTAGTCGACTGGTTAAGAACGAGTACTTACTATTAGCTTCACTTCTTGTATTTTTCGTTTTTTCCATGTCTTACAGAAATGTTTGAATTTTTGTTTGTTGTAACTTTAAGTAACATTAACTTTCGGCTTCTTTTTTCTCATTTTACTTCACTTTCTTCTCTTCCGAAAACAGAAAGAAAAGGCCTTGGTCTCTTATTGCAGCCGGTTGACTATTTACTTTTTAAATCGTTTTTGCATGAGCTGAGTCAAAGCAACACACATGCAACTATGACCTTGACGGCTAAAAGGTTCAACATGTGAATGCAGCTGTAGATTAGTCTTCTCTCTTCATTTACACTTACATCCACACTCTTACTGACATAAATTAACGAATATTTTTATTGAAAAATGCAGTGCTTATTTTGTTCTAGATAAACAATATATGTAATCAATGGCGTAGCCAGAAATCGTTAAGTCATGGGCCGTTTCCCAGCTAATTTATTACGAGGAGTGGGCAGCCATGAGCAATTAAAAATCAATTGGACTATAATGTTGCAAACTTATTGCCGTCAGAAAAAAACGATGTTATTGGAAACATGTTCGTTACTCTCAACTAAAAGACGAGCTCCTTTGCGTTTGTAAAATACGATCTAAAAGGAGTGTTGACGTGTATAGTGGTAGAAATTTGCCCTCCCCCCCCCCCCCCCCCCCCCCCCCACCCCCCACCACCCCACCCCCACCCACACCC